CGGACCATCTTGAGGATGTGGAAGATGACGAGCAGCAGGAGGATGGGGGGGCAGGAGGAGGAGAAGGGCAACTCGGAGGAGGAGAAGCAGCAGGAGAAGCAGGATCAGGAGCAGGAGGATAAACGAAGTAAACATTATGACCCCCTGCGCGCTTATCCGAAGCGAAAACAGGAGGAACGCACATTATGCCACAATCGTCCCCTCTCACACATATATATATACATAAACTCTTGAGGGATTCTGGAGGATTCCTGAAGGGTCCCAGGGGGCATTCTCGAAGGATTCTTGAAGGATTCTCGGGGGATTCCTGGGCGCTCCATGGAATTCGCGAAGGATTCCGAAAGAGTCCTGAGGATTCTCTATGGGTTCTTGAAGAGTTGTTGGGGGACTCATGAATCATTTTCGGGGCGTTCCCAAGGCATGAGGCAATGCGGAACGGCGAAGCCCCTGGATTCCTTTGAGTCAAACAGCTTCAGCCCATATATCTCGGCTCATGCATCGTGAGACCCTGCAGCCCTCCTCGAGGCCGCCGTGCATGCTAGCGGACTGGTCAGTCCAACCAGCTCAAATTACAAAGCACTGCGCCGAAACCCAAAATTGGTTCCGCCAATGAAACAGGAACCGGACCAGCCATGGCAAATGCAATTTCTCACTCACGCACGTGCGTTATCGGGCCCATCTCGCGCATGCGCATCATACTTCATTCCAATCCAGCATCGCTCAACACAAACGGTATTTCGCGCTGGCTGTCCAGGGCGCGTGCAACACGGTGAATGCCAAGCTCCCCGCCCCTGAGCCCTCAGCGGCGTATAACGCCCGTCGGCAGCAGGGTGTAGTTTGCTCCTGTTCTTGTATGTCATTGGCCCCTGCACCGCAACGGACCTCGTCTTCTTGAGTTGATGCACCTCCGACTCTGGCGAATCATCCCGCCGCCTCCTCGATGGTGATCTGCCCCATCGGCCTTTCGAGACGCAACCTTTATCTTGGCCGGCAGCCTTCGGGCTCTCAGGATCTGTTGCACATATGAACCTCGGGTCTTGAGAATATGTCGCACATCCCCCTTCATCATATACTGGTCGAAATGATGTGTCCCAAATCCGGGCTTTGATATTCCGCGCCCGCAACTCCTTGCTGCTGCGCCATAACGCGTTGTAGCTGAATGCCACTGCCACTACCATGACCACCAGGTGCGCCAGGCAACTCCAACTGAAAGTCATTCGTCAGATTGACCTCGATGCTAACTCCGCCGTCGTAGTAATACCCCGTCGACTCGGTCATGGGGCTTGTCAGCATGACCGCCAGCACTTTCGTCAACCCCTCTGGCTTCTTAAAGCTCGTCATCACTATCGGGATCCGCCCCGACGCCTCCCTGCGCCACCTGAACGTATCCGCGCCCATCATCTTGGCGTTGACGTCCACCATCTGGGTCTTCGTTCTCGCCTTCACCACCTCCGCGTCACCCTCAAGAACTGATTCCTGATGCCCCATCCACCATGCCTGTAGATGTCGTGCCCGTCCGACTCCATTGCTGTGAGTCATATTGTTCGCCTCTACTGAGTCCGCGTCCATCTCCAAGGTGGTCTTGACCTGCTCACTCCTCATCTCCGTCGTCTCCGTCAACGCGTGCTCGATGGTGAGCCCCCTGGCCGTGACTGACCCCCTCGCATAGAGCTCCGACTCTCCACTCGGCAATGCCGTCGTCGCTTGCGATAGAACCCACCTCTCCAGTAAATGTGCTCCCGAGCGAATACTTCCTGATGACATGCTTTCACGCTTCGCCTCTTCCCCGTATCTGACCTGGCGCTTCTGTTTCAGGGCGCCCTTCACCCGCTGGTCGCCATGCGAACAGCTTGGCCCCCGAACGCCTTCCTGAACGCCCCATCGATCTCCAGCTAGGCGCTGAGCATTGCCCTCGCAACTGCGATAGAGCGTCGTACTCTGCATCGTCACTGGATCCTTGTCTTCTCGAAATCCCCTTGCCGCGTGCTTCGAGCTCAGCGTCTCGGCCGGCCTGGTGCGCCTCGCGCACTTCCGCCATCTTCAAGATCAGTTTCGGGCCTGTCAGAGCAACGAAGCCCTCCTCGCCCCAAAGAACCGCCCCGCAGAGAAAGGCTACCCCTGCTGCCCGCCCCGGCCCCATTCGAGGCAGAGGTCTGACCTTGAAACAATTCGCCATGATATCGTCAAAAACGCCCAGCCCATCGTCGCGTGCGTCCACGGCGAAATCATCCACATGTCCTGCATAGAGCGAGTCAATTCCTGGATGGTAGTGCAGGTACCACGCGGTCTTCAACTCCTGATACCCATTATGGCTGAAGTTGTCTCGAACTTCTCCTTGGCCGCCAGTCGCGGTTCGTGGACTCGATTTCCTCCTGCTTTTGGTGTTGCCGCGCATCTTGCTGATTGAGCTTCTCCTGCTAGGCTGCCATCTCGACCCAGGGCTCAGCCCCGTCGAAGATCGCCGCAAACCTCGCCCTGCATCTAGCGCAATGCGTTGCCGAGCTTCCTTCGCAAGCAGCACGCACATCAGTGGGCCCCTGCTCCTCGACAAGCGCCCGCGTCATGCACCGTCCACCTCGTGCAACTTCATTCTGGCCCTTCGCCTCCAGTCCCCTGGGACCCCACGTCACCCCGATGAAGATGTTGTAGACGTCCTCGTTGCACTTGAGCTCGGCGCCCCTCGGCTTCCTCGTCGCGGCATGCCCCCACGCGCAGCCCCCGCGATGACCTCGTCGCTCTCGTCCCACCTGTCTCTGTAGATACCTTCTCTCCACCTCGGCTTCAGCTTGGGATAATCCTTCGCCTGGATCTCGCGATCGATCGTCTCGCGTATCTCACGCGGCCCCGACCTGTATATAGCTCGCCCGGACCGCCCCCAGGCTGCATTGCCATCCGTATTGATCGTCAATTTGGCGAGCAGATACCTCACATGCCTGGCCAACCACGGCATGGTCAGGATTCCGGGACCAATCTTCACCCTCAGGTTTGAATCCCAGCTCGCTGGGTAACGTACGCAGTAGAGACTCCACTCGCCCCACCGCATTCTCGGTCGCTCCGTTGCTCTGATGAGATCATCTAGTTTGGTTCTCAACCCGCGTACCATGCTTCCTCCTGTTCCTCGCCGCTTTGATGACGTCCTGTAGTGGTAGCTCCTGGTCGCCCTTACGTCAATGTAGAACTCCACCGCCGAATTGACATACTCGCTGGGCCCTTTGCCATCGCCGCGGCCGATGCCACGGCGTCATCTTGCATCTGCATCATCATCAGGATATTAACCATATCCGTCTCCAGCTCGGTGTTCACGAAGCAGTAGTCCTTGCTGATGACTTGTATAGTCTGAGGCCCCTCAGCGTTGGGTTTCTTGCGACCATATTCCTTGCCGTGCCCCTACAGACACCAATCGTACCAGTCCGTGAATGGCGTGTGCGTCCTCTCGTGCATGGCGATATCCTCCAACGTCGGCCTATACCTTTCCTTCTGGACCTTTGGTATCCGAGTCTCCTCACTTTTCTCTGATTATTGTTGAACCCATGCGTCTTCTTCTCTGCCGACTCCTTCCAGAGGACATGGCGTGTTGGCGTGCACTTCGCATTTGTGGATTGTGCATATCCTGGCTATCTTGAGTGGCTTGTCCATCGCATTCCTTGTCGCCTCCATCTCGATCACCTTCTTGATATTATGGCTAAGCTGGCCGCTGCCCCACCATACTCGCGAAACCACGCGCCTTGAGATCACCTCGTCCAATTGCTGACCGCAATGACAGTCGGGTGACCGTCGCGCACATCCAATGGTCCTTGTATCGGTTGCCTGGCCCCAACTACCCCCATTTGCACACTCTTGCAACCGGCCGCGTATATCTTGGGGCCGTCGGCTTTTGGTCGTGGTGGTGCATCAGCTTATTCTCGTGGCATTCGTGGTGCGAAACTTGGTGAGTTGACCATTCTGTCTGCTTTCGAATCGACCATGATTTCGGTTTGCCCGTCGTTATCAAAGTCTCCAACCGGAACCAGGTAGCATTCATCATCCTCCTTCTTAACGTCATTGGGCCCTTCATCCTCACAGTTTGCCACGTACTTTCTGCTCTTAGCCCACGCGTCCTGCTAATCCCTTTCGTGTTCCATCCTTCTCCCTCCCCCTTCCATCCGTCTTCACGCCCCTTGTTTTAGGGGCTGTGCTACATACGCGTGGCAGGTAGAGAAGATTTGCCCCCGAGGGAGCACTGTCGGAGACGAAGAGGGCGGGTATCGATGGTTTGGGATATACGTGTTGCGTGGCACGCGAGCAGGTAAGAGCGAACATTATTTTACAATGATTGTTGTTGTCGTCGTCCCGGCCCGCGGCCCGGCCCACGACCCACCCGCGACTCGCCCGCGACCCACCCGCGACCCGCCCGCGATCCACCCAAGACCCAGCCGCGGCCCACCCGCGACGCACCCGCGACCCTCCCGCGACCCACTTAAGACCCGCACGCGACCCACAAGCGACCCACCCCGCGCCTGCCCCCTCCTTCTTAACTGCGGGGTGCTACAGATTGTTTCGTTTCATGGCATTCGCAGCAGATTGCGTTGTATACGTGATATGTGGATGCACACACTTCCCTTCCATTCTCTATTTTGTTGATCTACCCTCTAGGGGGTAGTTTTTTCATTGGCCAATATTGCCTTCACCGATTGCGAGAGCCTCGACCCCCTTATCCAGTGCGCAAGTCGTGCGACAGGATCGCTTGGCACTAACCTTGCGACCATGATGCCAATGGCGCCCGGTAGGCACCATGGGCGTTGCTGTTGAATGTGTCTGGGAGTTGATAGTTGCTGCATGGCGATCGTTTCGCAATCCTCTCGAAGTCAGTTTGGAGGCCTGGAATGCGCAGGCCAAAGTTCCCACGACAAGATTCTGCGAATACAGTGACGGGAGCGTTTGCCCCCTCGCCCACGGGACTCCTTGTTACGCGTAACGAATTTGTCTGAATTGCGCAAAAGACCCTGCAGGCCGAAATATCCATGCTGGGTTTCCTCTGGCCTGACCGGCTGATTTAGTTGAGGCCACCCCAACTGTGCATTTGTTTTTCTTGCGGGGTGGGTGGGGGGAGCTGGCATTCCCCACGACTGGGTCCACTCCCGAGGCCAATATTGCCCCCCGTGTTGCTCATGCTCTCCTCTGCAGCTTCTTTCGGCTCGAACTTTGGAGACCTCGTAAACACACTGCTGGAGATGTCGTGCTCCCAGCGGCTGGGCTCCAGGCTCCCTGCTTTTGCAGAGCCCCTGGCGGGTTCTCAGTCCCTGGCGGATTTCCTCGAGGCGCCGCCACCAGAGGAGGTCGACCTGCTGCTCAAGGCCCGCGACCCTTTCGCCCAGGGCCTGGAAACCCTGGAGCAGTCAATCATTCCTCCTCTCCCCTTCTCCCTCTCCCCCCCTCCCTGCAAAGTACGTGCCATATGTTTGCGCCGCCATGGCTCAAGTACGCATGCACCGCCAGCATCCACCACCCGGGGCGCTGGGGACGAACAAGGCGGAGATCGGGCGACGGCATCAACCCCAGCACGCGCCGCCCGCTGCGGCGCTCGGACCAGCTGAGGTGCGACGGCCACGTGGCGCGGGCCCTGGGAATTGACGTGCCATATCCTCGACCAGCAGCTCTACCCCAGGCCTGGGAAAGAGGCAGGGCTGGGTGACGGCCTCAGGGTACGGCCCGATCTGTGATGGAGTCGGCCTTGAGGGGCACCGCAGAGTGTCCGCCTCAGGGTACGGTCCATGCACGGTGCTGGCCTCTCCGAGCCACTGGGAGGTGAGGCTGCACCGGGGTTGTCGCCCCAGGGCACGGCCCCTACTGTACAGGGACCTGGGCTGTGTGAACTCAGCCTAGGCATTCGTGATGAGCGAGGTGATTCCACGCACAGGGCTACGCACATAGGGCTACACATATAGGGTTTTACACGAGGGCGGGACCCTGGTCTTACGAAGTACGGTGAAGGCATTCGCTTGTCCTCTCAGTGGTGGACAATGCGCCCGCTGCATTGAGTCTCCTCCCTACCCCTTCCCCCCGCATTGCTCCCTGGGAGTTGCGGCACGTCCCTGGATTCCGCTTCCAGAGTGGATGTTGTTTGCGCTGCCGGGCCGGAAAGTGGCGTCCTTCAAACATAGCCCGCGTGCGGACCACTTGCCTTCTCTCCCTGCTCGAGCCACCACAGTGTGGTAGGCCTGCCGAGGCGGTACTATCGGACATGAGGGTTCCGAAGCGGGCATCCTTTCGACTGAGGGCGGAGGGCTCTGCATGTGCTGTCGTCTTCGCGCCACAGCTCTCAGCCTGCGGGTGCTATCGGGCTTGAGAGCTCGGTGGCGTGGCGTCCCTGCCTGACCACGGAGGGCTCTGCGGGTGTGTCGGCGTCAGTGCTGTGGCACGGCCTGCGGGCTTTGTCGGGCTTCAGGGCTCGGTGGCGTGGGCACCATTTCTTTCCGTGGACGGAGGTCTCTGCGGGGCGACAACGTGCGGGTCGGCCCACGGCGTCGCGTTGACCCTGAGGGGCAGCGCAGGATGTCGACCTTCGGGTGCGACACGCGCCTGGTCTCGGCGAGGTGTGCGCCCCTCCACGAGGGCGCGCAGGTGCCTTGAGCCTTGAGTGCACTTGAGTGCCCTTGATGCCTGAGCACATCGATCAACTGTCGCACAGGTCGGGCGATGACGGGCGCGCCCGCTCCCGCCAGCGTACGGCGCGCGACACTGACGCGCGTCGCGTGTACAGTCGCAAACAGAGAAGATTGGGTTCCAAACGCTGCGTTCTACACGTAGGGTTCCACACGTGGTGCTCCACGCGTTCCACACGTCGGGTTCTACACATTGTCCCACTAGCAGTGTTCGATACAGGGGCTCTCTCTTGTGTAGCTGTCAGGGGTCCACGCGGCAGTACCATTTTTGGGTTGAAGGGTTGGCTGCTTGCCCGCAGATGACCACCCACGAAGCGAGCGTGCCGTGTGCGACCCAGGTCCATGGAAATCGCTGTCGGATGAGCCATTGAGGGCTTGTGCCGACGACGACGGACAATACACATATTTTGGCCGGCGCTGACCAGGACTATGCAGCCGACCAGCCAGCGCGCGATGCAGAGCAACAGTTTTTCAACGTTTGCGGGTTCATCGGTATGTGAGCAGCCAGCTTCTTAGAGGCCGCACCTCAACAATTACATTCGCGTTGTTGGCGGCAAGGTCGCACGTATGCAAGTGGAGCAAGTAACTAGACTGACTAGGCCAAATCGCGTAACAGTGCACTTGTTCTCGCACCGACACGCATACTGGTGGGAGATCCGTACACTCGAGGACGCATTCGGGCTTCTTGTGCGCTCGTGTCGCTAAACGGCCACGAAGATCGACCATTGCGCGCTCGCTTGCTCTGGTGTGCAACTGTGGCCAAGCTGAGTCACATGTGCAGTTTGCAAAGACCGCGAGCACGCTGACATCTGCGCAATGAGGCCTTGAATACCAATTCAAACACCGATGTTGTGAGTGAGGTCACTGTGCTAAACATTAGCGACGTTGTTGATGCGTTATTGTGCCATTGTGCGTCTGCGTGGCTCTGCGCACAAGATTTTATCCGGCACGCGCGATGCAGCATCCCCCAAGCGTTGAGTGTTGTTTGAACAAAATATCGGAAATGATGATTCGATGGTTCAAACAACGGATCTCCGACGCTCGACTTTCAAAGTCTTTGCCGACGAAGTGGTCGACTTGCGTGAGGTGCAGCCAGCGAACTCGTTGTTTAGCGGCCGAGAGTCGGCCGATCGCGCTTCCAACTTCGACGCGGATAGGCACCGTTCTGGCTCAAGGGGAACGTGCTACCATTAGTCGCCAGTGCAGTTACCTTCTGGCAGCATGCACCACCCTGCCCGCAGCCAGCCTGGACCCACGATGACCGCCTCGGCAACAAGCTCAGGGAAGATGGGTGCATCGCGCTCTACTGCGACGGCTGCCCAGAGGCAGCCGCTGGTCACCACTGGGGGCCGAGCCAGCCTGCCCGGGGCATATTTGCTCTTGGCCCAGCCCGTTGCGGCAGGGGCGGCGAGCGGGCCTGCGGCCCCCCGCCCCGCGACCAGTGGATTGAGGACTACTCAGCCATGCGCTGGAACATCGCCTGGTGCTGCTCGAAGTGCCTGCGGTGCATCTGGGACGTCTGCCCGTCCGACTGCCGAGCCATCCTCGAGAGGGGCGGCCCCCCGGGCGGCCCCCCGGGCGACCCCAGTGCGGTTGCGGGTGGGGATCGTCGGCCCGCGGCCCCCGCAAAGGGAAGGCGCCCGTTGCGAGTCCAGCCAAACGGCGACCTGGGCGCTGCCCTGCTCGAGGACCTTGACGCGGGCCTGGACCTATTGAACGCTGGCATGGGCGCGGAGGGCCTCGACTCAGCGCGCCCAGAGCGGGCCGGGGGCGGGCCGGGGGCGGCGCGAGGCACTTAGCGGGGGCCAGCCTCCCCCCGCAGGAAGCCCACGCACTCCCCCCGTCCGCGCCTCGGCGACAGGCGCGCGGACCCTGGTGGCAGGCCAACGCGGGGCCGCAAAGGGTTTGCGGAACCCCGCGGGCAGCCGCGCGGACGCCTCTGGGGAGTTGCAGCAGGCGCGGCAGCATCAGAGACAGCGCCCCCCGCCGAGCAACGTCGCAGCTGGCCCCGCGTCCGCCCCTCGGGAGCCGCCGATCCCAGCGGCCTGCCCGCCCCCCACGCCGCCGCTCCAATGGGGCTGACGCCATGGGCGACCTCGAGATGCTCGACCTGGTCTGTCACGAGCGCCACCTCTGGCCAGCGGCCAAGCAGCTCTGGATCGCCCGCCTGGGCAGGCGGCGGAATCCGTCACTTTCGCGCGCTGCGGCGCCCCATGCGCCCTCTGACCTGCGCCCTCGCGCGCTCCGCGTGGAAGGCGGGCGTCGCCCCCGCCGACGGCGCCCCCGAGCTGAGCGGCCGGCCGGCCCTGGATGGGCGCTCGCGAGCAGTTCGCCCAGGCCCACTGCGTCAATCGGGCAGTCGGGGCGGTCGGCGGCCACAGCGCCGCGCGGGCGGCCTTCGCCGCCCGCCCCCGACCGTCTTCGGGCCAGGGCGCAAGCGCGACTGGGGCTTGACAGCTTCTCCGCGCGCCCCCTATAACGCAGCCGCCCCGCCCGCGTCTCGCCCGCGCCGCGCGGGCCCGCGCCGCGGCCCACCTGGCTCGTTCCACCGACGGAAGCGCGGCAGGTTTTGCCAATCATTGGGAAGGCCACCCAGGCGAGAACCACCTGCGAGGGGGGAGGGCCCGCGCCGCAACGGGCTCGGCACCCTGGAGGCATTCCCGCGCCACGTTGGGTCGGACAGCGGCATCCTGCACAGGCGCTGGCCTCTGCAGCAGGCGGGCGGAGCGAGGCGCCCCCGACCTCCGCCCCCGGTGGCAGCGCGCCCAATCGCGCGCGTCGCCGGCCGAGCACGGAGCCGACAATCCCAGGCCCCGCGGCCCCGCCGCGCCCTGCGCCTCGCCGCAGCCTGCGGCAGGACCTCAACGACTGCCCCCGGCAGCTAGCGCTGGCCAGCGGCAGGGCGGCTTCCAAAGCGCCACCGCCGCTGCCCCCGGGCGACGCGCCGCAGTCTGACGGCGCGACCGCCCCCGCGCGGCCGACCCGGCCCGCCCGCCTCTGGGAAGCGTTGCCAGCTGACGAGGGCGGTGACGCGGACGCAGAGTGGAGCGGGGGCGGCGCGGAGCCTTCCCAGGGAGCGGAGTCGCTGGCCGACCCGGAAGAATCCCCGGCCCCCGCTGCCGCCCCAGACCAGGCTTTGCCTGGGCCGTCTTGGGTGGCAACTGCGGCTGGGCAACCCCGGGAAGTCACTAAATGCCCTCCCCCCCCCCCCGCTTTCGGCAGGGGGTCAGCGCCCCCCGCGCCGGGAAGCGTTATCTCGGCACCCGCCGTCAGCAGGAGGGGGGGTCATAATGGCGCGGAGGAGGCGGGGGGGGGGGGCGAGGCCCCCCCCCCCCTCTCTCTTCCAAGATGTGGTCGTCGCCTTATCGCCGCGCGCATTCTTCCCCAAACCTTCAAGAGCTCCACGGATTGTTGGCGGGTCGCGTTCAACATGTAGCTCTCGCTCTGGCGCCGCGCACATTCGCGTGAACAACTGTGCGAGAGCTTCGCGGGTGGGCGGCGGGCCGCCTCCGCAATGTCGTTCTCGCTCGAGCGCCGCGCGCGCTCGCTTCGACAAATTCCAAGAGAGAGTCTCACTTATTAGAGGGCGGTCGTTTTCAAAATGTGGCCATCGCCTTGGCGCCGCGCGCGGTCGCTTGAAACACTTTGCAATGCGCCCACGGGCGCCAGGCGGGTCGTTTCCGAAATGTGTT